CAGAACTGCCAGCTTGGACATGATAGATAAATTTGTCTAATCTAAACCATTGTCCTTTTGAAATTCCGACTACAGCAGCTGGACTGACATCCCAATACATAATTTGTACCTAAAAGTGAGGTGCTACTAGAATAAAACCCATAACAGGAGGCACTGGCAGTCAGGAAATGGGTGGTGAGGATACTGTGGACTGGAACACTGGTGACTCTTATGCTGTGGCAAAACATTTGATAAAATTATCACCATATGATACTTAAGTTGCAGACCGCTTGCTTATAGAATCTATAGCTCTATGGCAGAGTTTCCCAACATATGTCCTACTGGTATTTTGGGTAGAACAATTTTTTGTTGCTCATGAATACCCTAGGCATTATAGGATGTACAGCTCCCCACCCATGAAATGCCTGTAATATGAACTGAAAATGATTTGGATTATCCTATATACTAGCCCCAGGCAGTATAACAATCAAGAACTTCTTTACACACTCTCTGATGCCCCTCATCGGAGCTGCTGCCTCCAGGTAAGAACCACTGCATTAGAGGAAGCAGCTAGAAAACAACATCAGAACATTCATGTGTTGGCTCCTTCTTGCCACTTTTGGCAAAGTTCTGCAAGAGAGAGAAACTCAGGCTAGGTTTACCTGCAGAGACGGAGAGAACTTCTCTTTGGAGGGGAGGTTCTGTCTGGCTGGATGCAGAAACTGGACGGGACTTTGGCGCTGTCTTGCTTGGGAAGGTTAAACACGTTCTGCAAGTAGAAAGAAGGATGTCTGCAGTTGGTGGATAAGGAGGAAGGAAGAAGACTAGCAGCGATGGCTGGTTTGCTTTAGAATTCCTTTTTTCCCTGTAGTATAGCAACAGAACTTTCAATTGGGCACATGGCTACTCTGCTACAGACATTTTTTAATCTTCTTTGGAGTTAGACATGGCCACATGAATAGGGCCTTCCAATGGAATGTGAATAGAATGAGGTGTGTAATACCCAGGATCTAAGTTTATATGGAAAAGTATGCCCTTACTTCACCCTCCCTCTCCTCTGCTGGCTGATACGTAGGTGTGATGACAGAAACTGGAACAGCCATGTTGTCCACAAGATGGAAGCCACACGTGGAGGGTGGCTGGTCAACTACATAGGAGGAGCCTGAAGCCCTTGATGACTTACAGACAGCCACCAAATTAACTACCTTACTTAGTCCTCCTTATCAGGAAGACACAGGCACTCTCTTGCGTCCAGGATCTCACATATATTATCTTGCCCTGTTTGTTAGCTGGTTCAATTGTAAACTGAAGTGATAATACACCATTAACTGAGTTCACATCAACATTCTCATTCATCCTAAGACATGAGCTGGGCTTTGCGGTCTGAACTGTCTCAGCAGCAGAACCTTTTCTTTTCCTTGATTTTTCGTCAGTTTTATTGAGATATAATTGACATATAACATTGTATTAGTTTAATGTGCACAACATAATGATTTGATTTATGTGTATAGTGGGGAATGATTACTGCAATAGTTAACATTCACTGCCTCACATAGTTACATTTTTTTTTCTTGTGGTAAGAATTTCTAAGATCTACTCTCAGTAACTTTCAAATATACAATACAGTATTGTTAACTATAGTTGCTGTGTTGTGCATCAGACTTCTAAGGGTTTTCTAAAAATTTTTTTTTCTTCCAGTTGATTGAGATGAAACTAACATACAGCACTGTATCAGTTTAAGGTATACAGCATAATGATTTGACTTACATATAGCATGAAAGACTTCTAAGTTTTTCATGATCTCAAAATCTACAATACAGAACACTCCTAGCTCCCAGATCTTGGTTTCTCATACTATTGTCTAATGAAAAGAATGAGGGCTCCTGGGAGAAATGACTGATTATAGGACTCAGGCTGGAAGCATACAAGATGAGCCTGGAGCATCTTGTAGTGTCCAGTGTCAGGAAGTTGTGCTCAAAAAAATTTTTTTTAAGGTAGGGGTGTCAAAGGGGCACAGGAGCCAAATGAAAGACCTCTCAAGTCAAAGTTGGAATGACTTGAGGAAAAACAGTAATCAATTGTAACCTCAAGTTTAAAATAAATATCCATGAGTTAATACTGATACAAATAAATAATTGAATAAATCAATAATGGGGAGAAGAGACGAATCTCTCTCACGGAAGAATTCCAAATAAAATATGTAGATGCTTCAACATAAAAGTCGGGGCACGTACTCCCACACTCCTTAAGTATGGGCTGCAGGTAGTGACTTCCTTCCAAAGAGTAAAGTATGGGAAGAAGGGAGAAATGAGTGAGTTTACAGTGGAGAATCCTGACAAACACTGCTTCTGCCAGCTGATCAACATCAGCAGTCAAACCATGTTGCTGGTATGCACCCTCGATAGGATGCAAAGAAAACGCACTTTCCATATGTGATACCCAAACTCCAGTTCAGAAAAAAATCAGACAGATCCCTATTAAAACATGTCCTACAACTTGCCTGACCAGTTTGAGTACTCCTCAAAACTGCCAAGGTCAACAAAGACAAGGGGAGTCTGAGAAACTGTTGCAGACAAGAGAAGCTTAAGGAGACATGATGACTAAATGTAGTATCACGTCCTAGATGGGATCCTGGAACAGAAGAAGGGTATTAGCTATAGACCAAGGAAACCTAATGTATCAGTATTGGCTCATCAGTTACAACAAATGCACCATAAGATGTTAATAGGGGAAACAGTGCAGAGTATATGGTAACTGTGTACTATCTTTGCAATTTTTCTATAAATCTAAAACTTTAAAAATCTCTCTAAATTAATGTGACTAACTTGCCTTCTTTACACATAAATCTGATATGTATATTGCCCTGTTTCAGTAACGAAATATATGAAAATATTTGGGTTTTGCTTGATGAGCTCAGGGGCAATCTATTTTTTTCAGAAACAAAACACTCATTAATATGTTTTCCAACTTGAAAATAAGTTATTTTCCAAAAGTTTACTTTTAAGTCAAATGTTTGAAACTTGAAACACTTTCCCACAGAAATGTTGTTACAGTGGTTTATTCCCAGGCCAGCCCAGTGAAGCTCATTAAATTCATAAGCAAAATAGACATTTTCAATGAAAATAATGTAAACTATACTGTGAAAAAAAAATCTGGCCTTTTAATTCAAAAGATAAATTTAAACATGCAATTTAAATTTATTCTAATCATATCTGTCACCCAGCATTTGAGCCAGGGGCTTGCTTTGGGCCTCTCCACATATCACCTTAAACCTTAAAATGAGTAGGGGGAGGAATGTGGAGGGTGTTACACTCAGGTGGGTGGGAGATGGAGGGACCCTAAGCACAGTTCGGGAAGCCAAGTATGTAGTTTTAACCCAGATTGAGTGGGCAGGTGTCTACTCATTCTTGGTACACTGAAGTCGATACCCCACAAGACAAAGGAAGGATAGAAAGGGGACTTCGCCTTCTCAAAATCCTAGAATCTTGAATGTGCTACTATCTAGAGTGGGCAATCAAGTACGTCTATGGGCAGTTGATATGCATGAATCAGCTGATGAATTCTTTAGGCTGGTGGGATCTGAGGACACGGGTGCGCAGCAGCAGGCAGTGGACCTGGGGTCCTCACAGCAGTGTGCTACCCAGCAGGGGACACAGAGAGGAAGCTGATTCACACTGGAGACCTGTGGAAATGCTGACAGGGTGTGAAGAGGACATAAATTCCCAACATGGAGGATCTGAAGAGGAACCTTGCAGTGGTGCCAGCCAAAATGTTAGACCTAGCTGGGCTCAGGCACATTTCTATAGCACAGCGAGGCCTACGTCTGATGTAGTTCAGGTCTGTCTATTCTGGTTTTAGAAGGCACTTTGTAAATAATCCTGTTTCTGTACACTACACATTTGTTAAAATAGAAAACATTACACCATAAAAAGAACTGTAAGAACTTTTCAAAAGCATACTTAAAAACAAATATCTTTATCAAGTATTTTTAAAACCATGATACATATTTTTATAATGCATTATGGAGTTAAAAGAATTGTTTTTAACTGACACCCTCTTCAATGCTTATAACCTGGTAGACATCATCCCTTAATTTTCTTAATTTTCCATTGAGAATTCAAATATATATGACTGCATTTTTACAGTTTTGTAAAAGAACAAGATGTATTAATAATATATATTTTAATACATATTGATAACAGCAAGTGTATGACATGCTATAGCATAGACATGATGAATTTTATTCAACCATTTCTTTATTGACAAATATTTACTGCTTCCTTGATTTTGCTTTTTGCCACTGGAAATGCTACAACAAAAATCTTCATACGTTTTATCTTGTGTTACTCAAGTTTATGTTCACTTGCTGTTGTAACTAACACTCTAAAAATCTCACCAGCTTACCACAGTAAGTTTGTTTCTAGCTCACATCACTGACTGGTGCAAGTCAGGCTGTTATAGTAAAGAGTTTGCTTCCAACCGTGATTCAGGGATCCATCTTACGGTTTCACTCTTAGATTCCTTCATTTCCAGCAGCAAGGATAGGAGAGCTTGGAAGGCAAGGAAAGATTTATGACAAACTCCGGATGTGGCTTAGGACACCTTTGCCCAGATTCCACTGGCTACATACAACCCAATCAGGAGATCCCAGCCTAACTGCAAAGGAGGCTGGGAAATGCAGTCTTCCTGAGTGCCCTAACAGGAAATTGGTGAACATTTAGCCAATTTTACAAAATATTTTTACATTTTGGTGGCTTTACTCCAAAGGTTCTATTTCTGGATTGAAATTTCTGGACTATGAAATTTCTGTATGACGTCTGTGTGTCTATTACTTTGCAAAAGGACCATAACTCCTACTTCTGTCAGCAGAGTAGGAATACTCAGCCCCATTCCTGCTTTCCTAAATCTCCCCTCCATAGGTGCTAAAAGACTAGAAACTCAATTGCCCAGATTCCTGTGTCAACAGGGTCCTGCTTTAACTTCCACCAATGATAAGAGGCACTCCTACTGAAATTAAGAAGGGTGAAGAAAGCAAGCAGCCTTTATTTCATTACACATGTTGACATAAGGCAGAAGTAGCATGGATAGTTGCTTCCAGGTGACAGTCTGCATTGTGCAGAGATGATTAGCAGGGGCTTCCCCTGAAATTCCTGGATTTTCTAAAAGCTAGCAATGGTTTCTCCTGATTTGTTCTCAGTCTGACGTTCAGTGAGCATCTCATTTCTTGCAAAAAATCTCTTCCTACTTGGAATATTTAAAGCAATTTGTTTTCCAGACCAAGAACTAATTTACACAACAACCTAGCATTTCTCTTTTGTTTTGGTTCATGGCCCATTTTTTTTCCGACATATAATTAAAAATTTTTTGTATTTCAGTTATATTTATGTTTCTTATTATAGCTATGGAGTTGCTGTCTTCCCAAGCCCGAGTTAACATAAATATTCTGTAAAACTTCAATTTTTATCTTTTATATTTAGGTCATTAGTCCGACTGGAATTTACCTTTGCATATGTTGTGAGTACTAGCATCATTTATTAAATCAATCCTGTTTTCTCACCCAACTAAAATACCATCTTTGTCTCAAACGTCTTGATCTATTTCTAGGCCACCTAGTCTATTCAGTGATCTGTCTGCTTACTCCTAACCAATGCCAAACAGTGTTGATTGTTGTGGCTTTATAAAATATTTTAATAACTAGTTTGTAAATCTAAATTTAACAGAGATCATCTAACACAGTATCTTGTGCTACCAGGTTAACTCAGTTGTACATAAACTCAGAATAAAACCTATTTTTCTGTCTTCGTGCATGCACTTGAACTTTCTACAAATATTAGTAAGAGAAATAGCTGAATTCTTGGCTAATATAAGGGAGCAATAGTCAATCCTAACCTGATTCCAAATGTTTGAGAAGCTGCCTCACTCTTCTCACTGATTGTTTTTACAACAAAAGACTGAATTTGTAAAGTCATGTTATCCTAATCAAATATTACTTTTGTCATTTATATATAAGACTATATATAAAGAACTCAGTATAAGATTTTATTTATAAAATGGGTAACATTACCAGTAATTTTTAAAACTATTGATCTAATACTTAAACTTTTGTTGCTTTCTATATCATTCGTTTGCCTAATTTATTCTTTTATTAAGATATAATTCACATACCAGAGTTCACCCTTTGAAGTGTTCAATTCAGTGGCTCTTAGTACATTCACAAAGTTGTGTATCGATCACCACTTTGCAATACCTGTTTTTCTGATTTTTTATTATTAAAAAAATGAAAAACCAAAAGTATAATTTTCAGTCAATAAATATCATTGGATCCTTAGGTAGTTTTGGTGCAGAAAGTGAAGTCCATAATTTTAGAATGATGATAGCAATTCATCAATCAAGTAATCAGTTTTCACACAGTTTCAATAACTGCAGCAATTTCCTTGAACTGTCTGTAGAAATTCTGGAGAAAAAGGGGAAAAACAATATTAATTTTGTTTTAATGGAGAATATTTAGGTAGTTCTTTTAATTACATCTGACCAGCAGAGGCTCTAAAACATATTAAGTTTGCATTTTAAGGTCAGATCCTCAACTACTATTATTGGAAGGTTACCATAAGAAACAAACAAGTACAATTTGGAGCAAGCAAAAATACTATTGTAGAGTCGGACAATTAGTTCACAACTAAACTTTTTAAAAGCATACAACAAAGTTCTTTGAGATCACATCAGAAAGATTTCTTAAATACCCAGCACTGTCCTAGACAATGAAGTTTTTTTTTAACAGATTGGTTCCCAGGCTTCAAATCGTTTTTAATTTAGTGAAAATTCAGACTGTGTTTCAGAGTGACAGGGGCTGTGTTATCAGTTACAAGAGAGACTCAACACTGACAATAGCTTACATGGCAGAAGTTTATATCTCTTTCAATTAAAAAATTAGCTGGTATGGTGGTTCTCCTGTAGAAGTCATCTCGTTTTTTTAAGCCTCAGATAAAAGAGGGATAAAACAAATTCTGTTTTCCTTTCTTCTCTTTTACCTGCCGAGAAGTAGGAGACAAATTTGATACCCTCTTATAATTCACATCCTGGTATTTTCCTTTTTATTTGGATTTAATTCTCTATTTCACTACTTAGAAGAGTATCTGTATTTTGTTTTAATTTATATGTAAATCTGTTATAGAATAAAGCAGGAAGTAACTATTTCTATATAAAACATATACTGAGGGTCAAAACTGCAGCTACAAGATAGATATAAATTAGAAGCTCAAAGAATGTTCCTTGGCTCTCAGTCCTGTAATGTGACTAACAGACTCTGCCTGGTTAGCTTTAAGCTGTGTAAAAACTATATTTAAAAGAGTTGCCCCTCTTGTGATTTTTAGAGGTGAAATCAAGGAGCACAAATGCTACAAAGAAAAGTAAGAATTAGGCCAGGATTATGAATTTTAAAAGCCTGAAACTTACATCCTTTTTTGAAGTGTATTTGGTTTGTATATTCTGTTGAAAGCTATTCACATATCATAATATACTACATTTATTTCCTTTCAACCAAGTCCTAATTTCTCCCAAGACACTAATTAGCATTAATAATGTTAAATCTGTGACCCTTTCTTGTTCGAAAGCAGAAATACCTGCTTCAAAGGAAAGAAATCAAAAGAAAATCCTTAGAATATAATTTGTAAAATAAAACTATATTACAACCCATGAGTCCTACTTCTAGATATATATTCAAAGGAAACAAAATCACCACCTCAAAAAGGTATCTGCACTCCCATGTTCAACGGAGCATTACTCATAGTAGCCAAGGTATGGAAACAACCCAAGTGTCTGCTGACAAGAAGAGAGAAAGAAAATGTGGTGTGTATATATGCACAACAGAATACCATTCATCCTTAAAAAGGAAGGAAATCCTGTTATTTTTGACAATATTGATGAACCTGGAGGACATTATGTTAATTGAATAAGTCAGACACAAAACACAAATACTGCATGATCTCACTTACATGCAGAATCTAAAAAGTGGAATTCATGGCAATAGAGAGTAGATAGTGGCTACTAGGGCTGGGGGGTGGGGGAAATGAGGAGATGCTGGTCAAGAGGTACAAACTTTCAGTTTAAGATGAGTAAGTTCTGGAGACCTAATGTACAGTATGGTGACTAATAATAATGTAATAATGCAATACTTGAAATTTGCTAGAGAGATCTCAGGTGTTCTCAACACACACACTATGTGAAGTGATGGATATATTAATTAGCTTGACTGGTAATCCTTTCAGGTATACCGAAACAACACATCATATGCCTTGAATTTTAAACAATTTTTATTTGTCAATATACCTCAATAAAGCTGGGGGGGAAATGAAGTTTGTAAAAGAGATAAAAAACATCCGAAAGTGATATATGAGAGGCTTTCCTTAAAAAAGAAGCCTGGGACCAATGTATTTTTAGTTCTATAAGGAATTCTCATTATATTTCCATTTCATTCACTATGGTTGCTTTTTTTTTTTTTTTTTAAGAGTACTTGACTTTTCTTAAAGTAGTAACTGCTGTAAGGAAGGATTCCTATCCATTCACTCACCAAAGGGATCAAAGCAAACAAAAACTCTAGGTCAGTTAAATCAGCCCATGACAAAGAATTTCCCTGTATGTACATTTAAAAGAAAATCTGCAGAGAAAAAAATGTGACAATGAATATATATATGTTCATGTATAACTGAAAAATTGTGCTCTACACTGGAATTTGACACAACATTGCAAAATGATTATAAATCAATAAAAAATGTTTAAAAAAATAAATAAAATTAAAAAATAAAAGAAAATCTGATTTCTCATCTACCTCCTTTAATTCTTCCTTGCTTACAGAAGACGTAGAATGGTAATATATATATAACATGATTCTAAATATAAACTATTAAGTTACTCACATTCCTTACATATAAAATTAGTCATCAAATGGTCTGATTTGCATTCTATAAACATTATTAGTCAGAAAATTCAGGGTCAATACAATTCAAACGCAAGATTCACTTAGCTTAATCATTCTTGAATATTAAGCCTAAGAAGAATAAAAGAGTTAAATGCAAAGTAAATATCCTGCTAGAAAAGATACAGATTTCCTAAATATACTAAAGATGAGCACTGAGAAAGTGATCTAATATCACAGTATACAAATTCAGATTATACTGAAAATATTGAAAATAACTTATCAAATTCCCAAAGAAAACAAATCCGTATCTTTTGTATGTATTAACAAATGAAAAGCACATCAAAATACTTGCAAATAAAAAGTTAAGTTTTTCTCTGAAAAGAGATTTTATACATATATTTTTTAAGCAGCAATTACAGAGCAATGAACTAAAACTGAATGAGTTAAATTACAAACCTGAAACTGTGGAATTGTCATTTCAAAGGACTTTTTCTTTACTTGGCCTGACTCATCGGCCACTTTGAGCATCACTGCAACGTAAGGATATTTAAGTGACCTGCAACTGTCCGAGCTCACAGCCATACCCAGCTTCCACTGAAAGTCTAGAAGCTGTAATGAAACAATACAAAGCATCAGTTATAATATTTCCCTGAATGCAGATATTTATTCAATTTTACTGCTCTCATATTCAACTTTTAATTTCAATGCCAATCATAATAAAAGAAAATATCTTCATTTTAATATTGCTAGGGGGATACTCATCAAAGGAACACGGAGAGAGGTAATAAGGGCTATAAATAGAGTTGGAAAACAATATTGTCATAGTTACAAAAGGGGAAAACAAAACACCAAAATCTCCACTGGATGTGTAACAGATAAGCATGGCAGTACTGGTTTTCCTTTCCTTTTGCTCCTGTACTTAAGGGGGTTCCAAATGTTTTGGACCATCTCTTATTTCACTTTTCTGTTCCTCTATTTCACAGCCCAAAAGTCCTAAAAAGGAAGATGAGTTATATACCGTCTTCATATTTGATTGCGGCACACATGGGAACCATTCCAGTTTCTTTCCTCACCACAGTCCTTGACCTGAAACCTCACACTAGCATAAATCCTGGTGATAGGTGGTTTTAGATTTCATCACAGTTGATGATGGCTACCTGTCAGGTGATGTGCTATGCAGTTTACATGTATTAAATGCCTCACTGAATCATCATAATATTATAGGCTATTATTTCCCATTTTGCAGATGACAAAACTGAATTTCAGAGCATTTATATAATACACACAGGGTCACACATTTCTGGACTCCTAACTGAAACCAGTCTGTTTGACTCCAAAGATGACATGCTTATTGATTACTGGCTGCCTCAATACTTTTTAGCTAATTCTTTGCAATGACTGTTCAGTGTTGCTATGGCATAACAGGGCTGGATAAATGCAGCTCTTAATACTGACTTTAAAACATAAAAGACAATGAATGGAGGAATTTTGATTCTTGTTCCCAAAGCTTAGGTGGGTACAGAGTACATAGCAAGCACTCACAAAAAAGGACTTGTTTATTGACTAATATCTTTTGCTACCAAATTAATGCTTAGTGGGCAAATGGCTTTATTTATTAATAAAAAAATTTTAATGAATTGTCAGATCAGCATAAGGACTAAAACTTCCTCCTGTCTTCAGACTGGCTTTAGGCCAATCAGCTACAGCATGAAGGCTAGGCTGGTGCTAAAAAAAGCTTATCATCTTTAATAAGTAAAAAATCGCATAGATGCATTTTAAATGTTTCCCATACAAAGAAAAAAATCATACGCATACAATAAAAGAACTACAAATGGCTAATAAACATATGAAAGGGAAACAGGGAAATGCGAATCCAAACCACAATGAGATACTGCTATACACCTATCAAAATGTCAAAATTTTATTAGAATTCTTTTTTTTTAATTTGTTGGTGAGGGGAGGTAACTAGGTTATTTTATTTTTAGAGGAGGTACTGAGGATTGAACCCAGGACCCTGTGCATGCTAAGCATGCACTCTACCACTGAGCTACACCCTCCCCACAAAATATCAAAATTTTAAATCTGAAAATTCCAAAACTGGCATGAAGGATGTGTCACAGTGCTGTTGATGGAAGTATACATTGGGCCAATCTTTTGGAAAATCGGCTTTACTTAGTAAAACTGAAGTTATGAATATCCTGTGATCCAGAGATTTAATTACTAGGGATAACTTAGAAAAACTTGTGCATATGTACACAGGATACTTATAGCAGAATGTGCCTAGCAGCTATATTCATAATAGCCCTAAACTGTAAACAGCCCAGATGTTCATCAGTAATAAAATGGATAAATGAGATTCTGTACAGCAATGAAAATGAATGAACTTCAGGTACACTTAAAACCAAAACTCTTGAAAGAAACAAGTTCAAAACTTATGAGTCCATTCACTTAAACTTGAGAAACAGGAAATACAATATTGTTTAGGGATGCATACACACATGCCAAACTATAAAGAATATGATTATTACAAAAGGATAATGGTTACCTCTAGGGAGGAGGGGAAGCAGAGGTTTGACTGGGGAGAGGCATGAGGTGGGCTTCTGGGGTACGGGTAATGCTCCGTTTCTTGAGTTTTGGTTGCAGTTACACAGATTTTCACTTATAAATTACTCTTTTTTGGGGGGGATAAGTATTTGAGGAGATGGAGGTTAACTAAATATATTGTGGTGACCATTCTGAAGTATATGTATGTCAAGTCATTATGCAGTTACATGTCAATTGTATCTCACCAAAATGGGAAAAAACTATTCATTATGCAGTCCATATGTTATACACATTTTGGTACATACGCTGTCTCGTATATAAAGCAGGTGAGGGGAGGATATAAATCCGTGAGTTCCATATTTCTGGTTGAAAGGAAACATTTACTACAGGGTAGTTGATCAAGAGAAAGTGTTAGAGGGAATAGAGCTCAGTTTTGAGGAATAACAGAACTGAAATTGACAGGGAAAAATGTGTCTTCTTTACATATTCCATACACACCTAGCAAAGAATAAAATGCTTAATAAATATTAAGCTGAACCAACTTGAGATGAAAACAGTCAATATCTGGCTAAGGGACAGAACATCTATCTGTCTTAAAGAGAAAGGCTCTTACAAGGAAGTATGGAAAATAAAGCTGACAAGAGGTCAAGAATCAAGAGGCTAATAATTTTTTTGCAAATTGTATGAGTCTTTCAGAGGTTTTCAATATACTCTCGTTTACCGTTGACTCTTGAGCAATGTGTGTTTAAACTGCAGGGATCCACTTACACAAGGACACTTTTCAATAGTAAACACTACAGTACTACACAGTCTGCAGTTGGTTGAATCCATGTATGTGAGGAACCTAAAATAGGGAGAGTCAACTATGAATTATACATGGATTAATCCCTGTGTTGTTCAAGGGTCAACTGTACTTCATCTTATTATGGAAAACACTAAGTCATTTAAACTTTTCCCTATAGCCAGTGGGTACTCCCTGAAAGTTTTGGAGTTCAGAGAATGGTATGATTTTTACCAATTTAAAAACATTCATCTGGTGGCAGAACATAACAATCCAGGAATGAGGTTTTAAGTGCCAGAACAAAGGTGGTGAAAGGCAAGATTAAGCCGATCCTCTAAAGAATGAATCATTAGGCTTTGACAATTGTCTTCAGAGTTAAGGTTGTTAACAAAGACAACTGTAAAATTTTGAGCCCAGATGACTGGGAAAATACTGATATCATCTATCAATCGGGACTTTATATATTTTAAGTCTAAAGGTATTAGCAAGCAGTGATAAGGAGTATCTAAATAGGAATGTTTACTAAGTGATTAAAAATCCAAGAACAGAGTTCAGAGATTTCATGACTAGAGATAAGTTTTTGTATCAGTTCAGTGAAAATATTCAAAAATTTAACTGAAAACTTCTTAAAACATATTAGCCTGTACAATTCCTTGATGCAGGAAGTTCCATTTTCAATGTCCACAGTAAAATGGTAGAGTAAAACATTGCTTATTTGATACTCAAAGTCTGAAATAAAACTCTGGATTACCTAGAACATTTCAAGCAGAAAAGCAAAGAAGGAACACAGTATGCTGGAATTCATTATATTCATTATGCCATTATAGTGGTGAAACTGGCAGTGGGGCAGTTAAGGAGAGTTGTCACTTACTGTGCAAAGTTAGTATTCATGGGGAAAAGAGAGCTGGGATTAGCTTTATGGGATGAGAATTTTTCCCAAATTCTAAGCTGAACATTTAAATGCAAATTAAAAGAAAATCTTCTAATAAGTGTGGTTGAGTCTGAAATAGGAATTAAATGAAATGAGTCTGAAACAGGAATTTTTTAAAAGAAAAAAACAACTACAAAAAATCAGAATAGAGCACACATCACTATGGAGAATATTAAGAATGAAGTAATGGAGCCTAAAAATTGTTGTTGGATGAAAATGATTTAAAAAGGTAAACATACAGAGAAAAAAAAAGCTAGTAGCAAAAAGAATATGAAAACTCCCAGAAGAAAAACGAATACAAAGGAGAAAAATAATCAGAAAGCAAACACAGGTGAAAAGGTAAACAAAGAAATTACCTGTAGTCTGTCACAATAAAAATTAGTTGATACAGAAGCTGAAGTTGTTAGTAACATAAAAACATCACTATAAAAACTACCTATAAAGAAAAAAATTTAAGGCCATTTTAATTTAAATTTAATTTTAATTTTTTAAAATCATAATATAGGAGAAAATTAGAAAAATAACTGTGTACAACTCTAGCATTCTAAAAATATGTACATATTCCTGAGTGCCCATTTCTAATTTCTAGTATTTGTATGTAATTTTTGTAGCTAGAGTCACAAAATACACTTTCATGTTCTCTCCTTTTTAAATGAAAGTTTTCAAATGGAAAGAATGTTAAGTGTTCTGCCCAGATTAATCTCTCTCAAAAGGGTTATGAGGAAAAGACTGATTAAACTCATCCAAGGATATAAAACTAGTAGAGCTGGTATTCAGATTCAAATTTGCCTGATTCCATTTTCCACGCCTTGAAATTTTCAGTATCCTGAGCTGAAATATGATTACCGCTCAGAATTAAACTAAATTCTAGTAGGTCAAGAAAGTAGACAGGTCTAGGATTAGGGGCAAGAATTTTTAGCGTCTTCTACATGCTAGACCTGAGCTGTCCAATACAGTACTCACTAGCCAAATGTGACTATTTAAGTTAACTTAAAATAAATAAAACTAAAAATTCAGTTTCTCAGTCTCACCAGCCAAGTGCTCAAGAACCACATATGGCTAGCGCTACCATATTGGATACGTCCAATGCAGAACATTGCCATCATCAGAAAGTTTTATCAGAGAGTGCTGTGCTATACGCTGTGCTAAGTACTTTATAAATGTAGAAATTGGCTATAGCATGAGTTATTAGCAAATTTCTACTTAAGAATTCATATTAGATCTCATAAGTGTACTACCTTTGCTAAGTCATCAGCCTTCCTCATCTTGTTTAAGGGCACCTTCATCCATACTTTGATTTCCTTCATAGCACTTATCAGTATTTAAAATTATCACGTCTACTTATTCATTACCTGAGTCCCCAAGGAAATACAAACTCCAAGAGAGCAGGGGCATTATCAGTCAGTTACTGCTGAATCTACTAGAATATTATCTGATACAAGGCGACGGCTCAAATGAGTTTTTACTGAACTAGTATGTTTAGAAGTTCTGGGGTATATGGTAACTGGTCTCCAAAGAGATCCTCCAACAACTAATTCTACCCATCTCTGTACATACATGTCACTCCTCACATCTAGAAGTGGAGCTTATTTCCCTCTGCATCAATCTGAGCTGTCCCTGTGACTGCCCTGACAAGTAGAATATGGCTGAAAAGGTGTTCTGGAATCTTTGAGCCCAAATCTTAGGAGAACTGGAAGCATCTGCTTCCTTCTTCATGGAACGCTGGCTCTTGGGACCCTCCCTCTTTGAATCCAGTCACCATCATGTGAGCAGCCATGTGAAGGAGAACCAACTGACTCCAATTATCAGGTCTAGCTGAGTCTTCACCCCAAGCCATCACAAGCACATGAGTGAGCCCTCTTCACTTCCAGCCCAATTAGGCTCTTAGATGACTTAAGCCCCAGCTGACATGATGCGGAGTAGAAACCACCATCCAGCTAAACCCAGTTAACCCACAGAATCAATGGGAGATAACTAAACAATAGTTTTAAGTCACTAAGTTTTGGGTGGTTTGTCATGTGACAACAGATAACTAAAGCAGGGCAAGCATAGCGAGCTGAAAACAGCTTTGTCAATAAACTTCATATATGATTTAACAAAAATAAGTTCTCAAACTATGTAATCTGACCTACATTAGTTTACAGAAATTTTAGCAAATACAAATAATCAAAAAATTTTCATTATTTGGTTAGTGTTAATTCCTCTAGTAAAAATAACACAGAAAAAGAAAGCCTTTCCCATTAAACACATTCACTACTAGTAAGTTCACACTCCAACTTCCCCACAACACAACACAAATACCACCCTCCCTCAAAAATGTATTTCATCCTCATTTTTTTTGACTCATGATCCCTATTCTCCAAGTGACTCAAGTCTGAAACTCTGGTCAACTTTGATTTTTCTATTTTACTCAAAACACATATGAATTGTGAAAGCAGTCATACATTTATGAATTACTACATAAACTATACGAAAATTTAAGTCACTATGTCTCACAAATGGGAAGAGGGAATTTGGCACTAGACATTATGTCAATAAAACAACTTTCTTTTGATTTATGCTGTAAAACTAGCAAGAAGGAAAGCAATAAATGTGACAATAGGAACAATCATCTATGATAAAGAGTCTTAATTAGACATTTACAAACATTGTGAATTGCTTCAAAACAATGAGCATCAGAATGCGAAGTAATGAACAATCTTTGACCTCTGGTGCTGGACAACATAGAACTATGGTTTGACAAATTTAACAAGCTCAGACTCTGAAGTCAGACCTGAGTTTGAATCTCAGCTCTGCTACCTTCTAACCACTGTGGTTTAGGACAAGTTACTATCTCTTTATGCCTCAATATTCAAAAAGTATTTACTAAATAAGACTGTTCTAGACATGGGGGATGTAGAAAAGAATAAAACAAAGCTCTTGACCTCAGGAACCTACATTCTGGTGGGGAAGACAAAAGAATAAACAAATAAATAGATAAAGAAATTGTAGTTTGTTAAAAAAATGCAGAGTAAGAGGACAGACCAGGAAGCTAAGAATCAGTTTTTGAAGGGACTTTAGGTCAAAGAAAGTATTTAAGACTTCTTTCTAATGTGAAAGGAATCTCTTAAAAAGCTTTAAGTGGGGAAATACGTGGTCTAACTTACATCGCAAGTATCCTCCTGGTTGCTGGATAGGGCATTAAGTTTAAGAAGGAAAAGGAGATCCAACTGGGAGCCTACTACAGTACCTAAGCAAGGGGATGGTGGCTTGGACTCAGGTGGCAGCAAGGTGAATCTAGAGAATATTTTTAATGGTAGAGAAAACAGTATGCTAGGGGATTGTATGAAGGTTGTGAACTCTCACTGGAGTTGTGGTCCCAGTTAACCCTGCTCATTCATATACTGGTGAGAAACATTTAAAGAAAAAGAGAAGGTATCATAGCTCAAGGATTTCAAACTAGTATTAGCCCTAAAAATTAGCTATATCTGGTACATATAAAAAGCTGCAAACAGAAATGATTTATAGCTAGGTCAAGGCTTTCCCCCTATAATACTGAATACATGTAATTTTTGTCTAGTAGTATTATACTAAAAAACACTCCATGAACTATAAATAAAAAATGTTCAATTCAGGAGTTCCTGGAGGTGAAACTCACAAAAGTGTGAGCCCCCATAATGATTAGGGAGGGTCCCTGAAATTTTAACTCTAATTGTCCACACTAAGTTACCAGCAATTTGTCAATTACAGTTTAGGTTTCCCTACCCCAGCACTCGTTTTCAGAGAGTTTTCTGTTAAGTTGTGATTCTCTGTATTTACCTGTCTTTCCAACTGGGGTGCAGTGCCCTGTGACCCCATCTCTCTGACGGATCCTAGAAGAGTTACTGATTTTTCTGTTTGTTCAGTTTTTACTTGCTTTTAAGACACTGATAATTTCTAAGCTCTTTACATGCTTAAATAGAAACTGGAAGTCTATCACTTTTTATAATTTCCTTCATAGAGGTGTTAAACATCTCTTGCTAGATTTATTGCAAAGTATTTTATAGTTTCTTTATTAATAATGTAAATTACTTCTTTAAAAAAATATTATTCAACTCTCTGTGTCTGAATTGTAGAAAAACAACTGAATTACTTTGCTAAACTCTCATATTAATTCTAACAGTCTGTAAATTATCTAGGTTTTTTCTATGCAAACAATTGTTTAACATGTGAATGACTGCACAGAATGGATACAGATTAGGGTGAATGAGACCCTAAAGATGTCCACATCCCTGAAACCTGTGACTATGTTATCTCACAGGACAAAACAGACTTTGTAGCTATGACTAAATTAAGGAACTTGATGTGGGGAGGTTTTTCTGGATTATCCAGTTGGGATTTAGAAGAGGGAAGCAGGAGGGTCAGAATCAGAGACAGTAATATGATGATGGTAGCAGAAAGAGACGTGATGACAGCAACAGAGGCTGGAATGTGCTTTGAAGATGAAGTACAGGTCACGGCCAAGGAATGCAGGCAGCCTCTAGAAGCTGAAAAAGACAAGGGAGCAGATTCTCCCCAAAAACCTCCAGAAGGAATACAGCCCCGCTGACACCTTGATTTCAGTCACAGAAGACTAATTTCGGACATATGACGTCCAAAACTGTAAGAATAAACTTGTATTGTTTTAAACACACTTTCCCCTACACCCTGCACAAAAAGTTTAATTTTTAAAAACCTGTAATCTAGCATAATACAGTGTCAGGATATCTTACTCAAATAAACATATGACTTAACGTAAGTAAATGGGTAAGATGACTTATGACAGACTGAATCAAAGTTATTGAACAACTACTCTGAGCAAAGCCAGATAGGGGGTTGATTACTATCTCTCTGAGTTCCCCCTACTTCCCAGGAATCCTCAAAAACAGCAAGATCAGCTGGAGACATGTCAAAGAGTAGTCAATGGACATCTCTCAGCCCCTATGTTCTCATTATTTATCTCAACCCTTTCTAATACTTTGTGGTCCTGGGTAACTCCTGTCCTCAAAATATTCTAGTTTGAGTACTCTTCTTCTGGGAAGTGTTACAAGTCATTTGTCTAAAAATAGTTCAATAGCTGAAAAAAAAACAAAAAAAAACAAGAACATCTGAAACAAAGAAGCGGTCCTAAGATATACTTAGAAATTCAAATTCTTATTCCAAGCATAAAAAGTATACACATTGAAAGGTTGAAGAGGTAAACTCTGTATCTTCAAAATAACTGGTTTTTAAAGACTAAGAAAATGTCTGCAGTGCCATCTTTGTAAGTTTTAATAATTCCTCATCTCTACATATCACTTCCGAAAATACTGTGTACCTAGTGTCGAATCAACGGCGCTTAATCAAGTAAGAACAATACTGGGTCTGTACTCTTTGGCCTGGAGTGGGTAGGGGAGATTACATTACAATCGGAGTGGCTACCATCTCAGGAGCAACGCAGGCTGGAGGGATGAAAGGTACGGACTCGGGACACAAGCCCTGGACACCGTGGCATAGTCCTGCGGGTGCGAGAGGCGAGCGGAGGGCCAGGTGCTGCCGCCCTCCCCTTTCTCCCCCGAGGCCGGCTGAGGACAGGGCAAGGTGGCCACTCACTCACCTGGCTGGTGACCTGAAATAAAAGTAGAAAACAACATTTAGGGAACGCTCGTTCTCGATCCGGAGCCACGCTGCCCCACAACCTTCCAGGCCAGCTCTTACCTTGGATTTAGCATCCAGCAGCGGCTCACTAGACCCCTCCATAGCGGGGTCCACGGCCTCCCACCCGCCCACGAAGGCGGACGCTCCGGGGCCACAAACACTTCCGCTTCCGCTTCCCGCCCCTTGCGGCCCAGCGCACGCAGCCGACGTAGGGGCCCGGAACAAACATCTGTGTGAAACTCATCCTTAGTCTCAACTAAACATCAGGTTTTTTTGGAGCTGATCAGTAACGACAAAAAATAATACAGGGGGAAAGGTCCTAAAATTTGCCAGATACTTTTGAATGGAATAACCGATTAACTTTAGGGTGTCCCCTCCCCCTACTTACCCCGTAGACGTGGACTGTCCCAGTCTGACGCCCCCGCAGCGCCCTCTGCGCAAGCGCAGATTTGAGGCGGCGCCGACTTGCGTGCAGTAAGTGATACTAACCGAGTTTGAAAGCGGCTAGACCACCTTTCCCTATTCTCCGTAGAAGTTTGTCCTGCGAAGGAGATGCCTGTGGGACCTGTGGTTTTATAATTTGCTCCCGTCACTGGGATTCACTGCACTGGCCTAGCTGGGGGTGGGGTGGATGCTTTTTTCTATTCCGTCTGGCTCTGTTCTTTATCCCTACTGCCACGCCAGCCCTCAGCCTAACTGCAGCAATACCTTCCCATCTGGTTCTCCCATTTCCCTCCTACTCATCTCAAAATAGTTTTACTTAATATCCAAAGCAGTTTTCCCC